ATGATCTCAATTTTACTGTTACAAAACCTTTCATGAATTATTTACATGTTTTTATAATTAATGTATATAACAATACTTAAATAATAAATGTAATGTAAATGCAAAAATGTATAAATGTAAAAATAAGAATGCAAACTTTGCAATGTAAAAGCATACATAAAAGTATGAATACAAAATGAAAATGCAAAGATGTGAAATGCAAATGCATGTATGAAAAGGTGTTACTCAAGAGTGATCATCTTAGAACATATTTCATTGAACACAAAAGTTTTCGTGCATTAAACAAAACTTTTATATATAGGGGATGGCTTTTACTCCTAATTTCTCTATTTCCCTTAAAAGCCATTTTAACTTCCACTCATGTTCAGGTGTGGAGTTATCCATCTGCTTCAATTCTCTCGCGAAGCCAGCTAAGTTCACCAGCTTATGAGCCACATTGCTTGCTTGACCAGTAATTTCCTTCGTGACATTGTCTTTTTCCTTCATCTTCTGTGTTAACTCTCAGGTTTGTAAACAATGTTGTTCATTTTTTCTTGTGAGAGATTCTTTATGTTCAAGAAGTTCTCGTACAAGATCTCCATAATCATCTAAACATTTCTTCAATGTTTTGTTCTTGGTCATAGTGGCTTTTAATTCAGTATCGATCTCAAGCTGATGAATCTGATATGATGCTTCCATGTTGGTCATAGTACTATTCAACCTTTGATTATCGACTTGATATTTTCTCGATTCCATGACAGTTGTATTGAGTCTTTCTTCTGCAACTCGTGAATTATGATAAAACTTCTTGGCTCGACCTTCATATATATTACAGTTCTTTTTCAGTTTGGTGACCCCTGTTATCCACTCTTCTGGGGTGTTTCCTATGCCAGCATTTTGAAAGGCTTGACTGACCTTCTGGAAATCTTCCTGCATGGTTTCTATTTATGTGCTCAATTTATCGTTTCCAATCTTTAAATGACGTATTTGAGCCTCGAACCTCGGTAAATCTTCTTCTCTCTGGGGGCCCCTACTGATACTCTTACCTTTGAAGACTTTTGGTATTAATCTAGCAGGACCTTCGGTTACCAAACTAGGGCGATCATTTACCATAAATTGTAAGGTTCCATGATCCAAAAGACTTTGGACTCGACGTTTGAAGGCAAGACAATTCTCGATGGTATGTCCTTGAGCTCCGGCATGATATTCACAATGAACGTTGATGTCATACCAATTTGGATACAGAGATTGGAATGGTTTTATGTAATATGGAGATACTTCTCGTGCTTCAAGTAACTTTTCATACAACTCTTTATATGATATAGGGATAGCATCAAAATGAGAACCACCTTTTGTCTTGGATTGAACCTGAGTTTTAGACATCGGGAGCAGACTAAACTTCGATGATTTCAGGTTACATGATTTCTTCTCATCTCTGGGAGCTTTTACAGTGGTCACTATTTCTTTGGTATTTCCAGACGATTTGTGAATACTAATGATGACTGTATGTAATTTCTCAAGTTGGTTAAGATCCGAAGTCCCTTGCGTATCTGACATTGCAAGGTTAAGTTCATTGAGCTCTCTCTCTTTCTGTGCAGGAATTTCTTTTCCTTTGTCCAAAACAAATATTCTATCCATCATCTTGGACATCTGCTCTCTTATTTCTCGTATCTCCTTTTGCTCTTCAATGGGCATACGATCTTTGGGTGCATAGCTCTCATCTATCCTCGAAGTTCCCTCAGGATGCCATTCCTTGGCCGCGTCATATTTTGTTTGATCATAAAACTTTTTGTCCATTTACAAATTCTTTCCAATTTGATGAACAGTCTTTCAAGTCAACACCTTTTGGTTATGCCATGATCATGTAATGCAGGCACAAAACAAAAGAAATCAATATAAACAAGTTAAAACAAAACAAAATGTATGAAAAATAAAAATGAGAAAGGAAATAAATAAATTGGTAAGTACCAATTAATGAAAAGAAAATATTCTACCTATCATGGTATATAATATATCCTAACCTCATGTTTTCTAGTTCCATGCTTTGTTTGGAAAAATTAACCTAACAGCATGATTACTAGTTCGCAGGCATTTATTCAGAGAGAAAAATAATAAATTAAATAAATTAAAAGCTAGAGCTTATTTCTTCTTTGTGTACACCTATGAACAGAGGTTCAGTACTATCTTAGATCAGGTGAATTTCTAGGGTTTATTATATGCAGAGTTTCAGTTCTAGGAGTAAAGGTACTCGAATTGTCCTTGTTGATGCCCCCTTGGGCTGTCAAACCCTCAATCCTAGTCCATTACAGACTTAAGCAGATCGAGTTCAATTCGAGGGGACACATTTCTCTATGCCTGACACGGAGAATAAATTCTCACGAAGACATAGAGCGTATGAACCCCGAAAGTTACTTGCTAGGTCTAACACGGAGAATAAATTCTCACGAAGACGTCGCTTTCATTCCCACTTAGAAGGGACAAGCTTGATTAGAAAGCTTATGTTATGCAATGCAAGTGTTGTGTGTGAGGAGAAATATTCAAACCTTTGACAAATAATTAAATGAAAAATTTAATATCTGAAAATAAAGTAAAAATAAAAAATATAAAAAATATTATAAAAATCATAAAAATTTGAAAGAAAATAATTTAAAATTAAATAAATGAATTTTTAATTTCTAATTAATAGAGACAATTTATAATTAATTTTAAAGTTTGACAGTCCCCAGCAGAGTCGCCAACCTGTCGTAACCGGTTTTCGCCCGGGCACGAAAATTTTACTCGGCTGGAAAAGTGATGTAAATAAATGGTTTTTAAAATGTTTTGGGAGTCGCCATCGACCTTTTGGGTAAGGTAGGTTGAATACCTAAAAATTATTTTTTAAAAGAGTTTTTAAGAAAATATCAGTTAAAAGATAAATTGATCTGCGTTTTAACCAAAAATTCATTCTTCTTAATAATAAAAAGGGATTCGTGGTCGGTTACGTTTAGGGAAGGATTAGCACCCCTACAACGCCCAAAATTAGTACTTATTAATTATAAATTGTCTCTATTATTAGAAATTTAAAAATTCAAAGATATATTTAATTTATAATTCTGTTTTTCAAATTTATAATTTTACAAAAATATATTAATATATAAATATAGGAGATATTTACTTATTTAAAAATATCAGAAAAGGGCTTCTAGGTGCCTTAAAACAGCTCTTTTCTTCGATATTAAAAAATAAATAAATATCAAAATATGATTATTTTTCTTAAAAGTAATTTATAAAATTAAATTTATAAATAGGATTTTTATTTAAAAAAACAAATACAAATAAATAAACAAATATTATTTATTATATATATTTATATGACTAAATAATAATAATAATAATAATAATTAAAGATATTTAAAAATAAACATATAAAATTAAAATAAGTAATGACTTAAATAAATAAAATTAAAACTAGGGTATTAAAATATAAAAAAATGATAAACTAAAATTAGGGATTAAATTATAACTTGTTAAAATTAAATGGTCTAATTCAAAATGTCATAAATCTAAGTGCTAAAGGTGCAATTTGTCCTTAATTAGTTATTCAGGACTAAAATATAATTAATTAAAATGATAAGGGACTAAATCAGTTATTTACTTTAATATATATAAACACTAATAATGACTAAATTATAAATTAAACAAAATTTGAAGACTAAATTAAACTAATCAAAAATTACTTTCAGTGACTAAAATGCAAAGTTACATTCTTGGAGTGACTGCGGGTATAGTTTACCTACGTGGGAAATTACACAAATACCCTCCCCAAAACGACGTCGTTTGGGAGAGGGTTTTTAAACTCCTAAATGGCTGACCCTTCGGGTCAGCCTCTCATTTTCTCCCTTTCTCTTTTCTCTCTAAAAATGAGAGAAGAAATTCTCTCTCGTCTCTCTCTTGCTTCCCTCACCAGAGGGAACTCCGGCAGCTGCCGGCCACCATACCCTAGCGTCAGACGTCGCCGCCGGCCACCGCTCACGGTGGCCGGAACTATACAATCTTATACCAAAAGGGAGCGCTAAACACCCCCAATACCGAATCCAACCTTACTTTTCCTTAAAAAGCTCCTAATCGGAGCAGATCTACAAGAATACCTTCGGGTTTTGGTGGTTTCAGGCGACGTTTGCTCTCCTCTGTGGTAAGTTTCTTTTACCTTTTCTTCTTCCCTCGATTTGTTGTTGACTGAGATCGTTAGTAGTTTGCTGTTGTTGTGTTCTGTTATTTATTTTTCTTCGTAGCTGTTTGTTCTTCTCCGTTGTTGTTCATATCTTTCTCTGTCCTCGTTGGTTGCTTCCTCTCTTTATGTCCCTCCTTTTTTTTGTTTGCAGGGGAACCGAGGCTTTATAGCCTCGGTGAGGCTCTCGTCGGACCAGTCCATAGGATGAAAGCCTTGGTGAGTCACCAAAGCTTTGCTGGTGACTCACCGTAGAGGCGACACGTGTGGCTGTCATCGTGGCAGCAGAGCTTCTGGAGGCTTCAACGACAAGGTGGCGTGGCACTGGAGTGTCGACAGCAGCTGTTGGACCACCTGGCAGAGACGTGATGTTGGCAGCGGCGGTTGGAAGCTTGAGAGGCGGCTGGGGTCTTCTGGAAGTAGCGGCGGCTGGGATGTGTCCCTAGGGTTATGAAACCCTAGGGTTTCCTTACTGGACTGCATCAGGACCGTTAGATTAGATTAGATCCAACGGCTGAGGATCTGAGGCGCTGAGATGAGATGAAGGAAGCCCTAGTAGTTTAGGGTTCTACTGGGCCATCTGGTCTGGTTCAAGTTGGGTGTGGGATTTGTATTTGGGCTCCCGGGATCTGGGCTTGTAATAATTATTTAATAATAATATATTATAATAATAATATTTATAATAATAATAATAATTTTAATAATAATAAATTAAGTAAAATGAAAAATCAGTGTTTACACAGTTGTCCATCATTTAAAAGTTTCATCTTACTAGGATCATGCATTATTACCGCAGCAGCAAAATCTCTTCTCATACTGAGCTGAAGTTCCGGAAATAACATGATTAGTGCAAAAGATGCATAAAAGTGGACATCATAGGTGTTCCGCATGTGATACTCAATTCCTTCAAGATAAAGGAATTGACCAATGTTTTCTTCTCCTTCTTGAAGCAAATTTGTTCCTAAAGCCGAATTTGATGCAATTGGAGTGTGTATTTGCTCAAGTATAGAAGTCATCCTTCCCAGAATGTCAATGGCAGTATAATTTTGATGGGGAACACCAGTAATGTTTTTCAATCCTAACTGAGATCTATCAAGGAAAACTTGCTTCCTCCAATGCTTACTAAACTATGGAGTGGTGGTGGTTCATCTGTGGTACAAACAAAAGGAGAAAGATTAGCACAAGTCCTTTAAGAAATCCAATTTTAAGAAATGAGTGCAATGTACAGACACCTGTCCAGATCGTCCCCCCTGAATTAAGATAATAGAGCTCACTGAATAAAGTGACAGGGTACCTGTTGAGGGGGTTAAAAAATTAGGGTCTGGTAGCACAGGTAATTGCAAACAATAAGACTGAACTAACCATTCAGGGGTCCTCTTGTCTTCAAGTACAGGCCCTTGCCATGCTTCAATCAGTGATTCCCAATGGTTGTGTTCTATGTTTCAAGAAAAATAAACATATCAAAATGCAAAATAAGTACTGTAAACAACTAGTTTGTGAGACTGGTGAACTTAAATTTTGAGGCTTGTTTTCATTAACAAAAATTTAGGATCCATTTGGTTCTAGAAAATATAGGCTATTTTCATTTTCTTAGAAAATAGAAAACTTGTTTGGTTGTAAAATTAGAAAATAAATGGAAATTTGAAAACATTTTCATTTTTATTACCAAGAAGAGCATCACGTGCAATATTTGCTGCAGCATTTCCTTCGGTTCCATAGAACTTCGTATAACGCCTGCAATACATACTAGTGGCGGATCTAGAAATTAAAAAATGGGGGTCCAAAATTTTAATGCTCATATTCTAAAAATTTTGGATATGCAAATTTTTTTATTTTTTCTATTTTCATTAACAAATTAAACTAAATTTAACACTTTTATCAAAATAATTGGTTTGCACATCCGCCCCTGATACATACGCTACTCATCAAGCAAATAAGGTTTCAAGTACGGAAATTTCTTCTACAAGTATGTTAACCACAAACCTGTAATAAGTCTTTCCACCTTGAAAGTTTACTTTAGGACAGTCCCACGCCAATGAAAACGTAACAGTACCTACAGCATCAGATGGAACCGTCACGGAAGCTGCAATGGCTGCACCGATAGAGGACCCTCGTTTCGAAGACACTGATGCTTCAGTAGATCTCAAATGCTCGAAAGAGCCATGCTACAAAAACAGTTTGAGATATCCTAATTTCAGTTTACCTTAACAAAGATTTAAGCACAAGTTTATCCGTGGGCAGCAGCAATGTAGAGAAAAGGTAGGACTTGGATAGTGCTAACTGCAAAGCAATCGCAGACTATTTGGCTAGAATCGAACTTGTTGAATAATTGTCGATGAAAAGGGTCATCAAAATTATTGTTTATAAGGAAGACTTATAGCTAATGATATGGAAAGTTAATGGCCTAATTGCATATAATAAGGGTTGTTGATAGGAACAAATAAGTTACATCGGTCGTTGACGGTTTACCCTTTCTGGTTCGGGCGGAGAGCCGTAACTAATGTAAGGATGACCCTTTCAGTCTTTCCTCGTGATATAAATGTCCCGTTATATGGAAACTGGTGTTAGACCTAAGGTCATCATGCTTGTTAGTAGGCTAACAGACTATACATATATGGATGTGAGTTATAAGATTTGACTCGGTCAAATATCACGTCAAAGATTGAGGAGTACAATCTCTGAAGAGCGATCTCAACGAAAGATGATTCCAGATATATTATGGTATCTCAGGGAGACTTCTGGAGGCTCTGATTAGAGGATGAAATCTTCAAGAAGGTTATCTCCAAAAGTATAACAAGAGTCATCAAAATTAGTAATTTTTATGGAAAACTTTAGCTAATGATATGGAAAGTTAATGGGCAAAGAAGAAATGAAAAGACAATGATCATAAAATGAATATACTGTGCACATGGAAATTGAGGGAAACAAAGTCATCATACCTCTTTTATTTCTTGCCACATTTCTTTTGCAGTTATGCCTTCTGAGTTCCCAGATACCAGAAAGCAAGGGTATTCTGAAACACGAATAACATCGGTCTCCTGCGGTGCGATTGCAAATGTCACAGGAGGTAGCTCATCTGCAGTACTGTACCAGTAATAAAAGGTGTTACTTCTGGAAACTAAAAAACAGCAGTGCAAAGCTATTCAACAGATCAAACCAAGCCGAAACATTCCCCCCCCCCCATCTTCACTGATGACCTTACATGTGATGTAAAAGGACACCGTGCACACCATCCTTCATCCTAGCAAAATCGGTTCCTTGACATGTTAGTATAAAAATTATGCTACAAAGAAGAAGAATATTCCGACCGGGAAGAAACTAATAGATAAGCACAGACGGACACACGCGTCTATGTGTGTGTGTCTACATAAGCTTAAGGAAGTATGACACATTATTATTGAATTATAATGACAACCAGAAAATTCAGATACTCCTCCCACGGAATTCTGAGAAGATATGCACAAAATTTTTGAATGAATGGTAGATGCTAATGGTAAACTGAGTGGTAGATGCACAAAATTCAGAAAATTCAGATTTATTAAATCGGTTTTTGAATTTTTTTTTATAATCATTGGTATCTGATCTCGACTAATCCAGATCGAGTTCTGCAGAGACAATGACGACCCTCTCAACCCAGTTTGCTCCATTAGCAAACGTCATGATTCAAACTCCTTACCTTACTTAAGGGATCTAGTACCTCATCCCACTAAACCAATTCGTAGGCGGTTGAAAATTAATTTTTTAATTGAAAATATTAAAGAATGAGTTTTGAAATTAGAATAAGGACTAAATTATAAAGGAAAAAAAATGTGGACCAAATAATTACCTTCATTTCTAATCACCCAAACGCAATTTTTACTCTTTAAAATTTCTGACGAATCATCAAGATTTTCCATCTTTTTCTCTCTTTTCTAACTTATTTTCAAGAGAATTCTCATCAATCAATCTCCTAATTCATTTTCTACTTCAACTAAGGTAAAATCCATCTTCGTAATCATGAATCTAAACGATTTTGTTCAAAACAGGTTTTGATCCTTTGTAATAATAAATTCGAAAAATTACGAGTTTCTTGAAGATCTTGAATCTTTAGTGGTAAAATTCAGTTTTCTTTGTTAAATATTGATTTCTAAATGATTTTTGGTTTTTTTTATAGATTAAGAAGTTTATAAATTGATTTTAATTAATCAAATCAAGTTCCTAAAAATTTGATGATTTTGTTTAGTGGTTTCATGAGATTTCTATAAAAAAAATTAAAATATGAGATTTAAAGAACTAGATCTGATTTTGTTCATCCTAAATGGATTTTAAGAGGTGATTAAAGCTTAAGAAATCAATAAGAAGGCAGTCAATGAGTGTTCTAAGTCGCTGTTGATTTGCACGATTCGTTGTGTTAATCTCAAGCTTAGGATTAGGTTGATCTCGTGATACTTATGTTCAAAATAATGACTTATTATGTATTTAATCTAAAATATTGGAAAGGGTAAAAGTTCAATTTTATTTAAATTTAAACTAATAAGGACCTAAAATGCTATTAAACCAAAAATTTTAAGATATATTGATCCGTCCCATTTAGCTCTATATGCATTATAGTGACATTTGATAGTGCAATCTAATATGTATATATAGGGTGTTGGAGAGTCATGCTACACTTTGATAGGAACATGATCGACTCTTTGAGTCAATAATAAGACGTTATAAAGAATTCTTGTATCCGATGTTTGTATTGACACTATGTTTCATATGAAAAAAAAAGTCAATAAATTAACGATGAAGAGCTTAATTCAATTCATGATATGATATGAAAGAGTAAACATGTTGTATAGTATCATTAGGGGTGTAAATGAATCGAACATGAATAAATAAGGCAATGTTCGTGTTCGTTTGTTTATTTTTAAAGATGTTCATGTTCGGTTCGTTTTCATTTAAATTTTTAATATCGTGTTCATATTCGTTTATTTATTTTTGAAGATGTTTGTGTTCATTCGTTTCGCGTTTGTGAACATGTTCATGTATATGTTTGTTTAGCGTTAGTGAACATGTTTGCTTAACGTTCGTTTAGCATTCACGAACACGTCGGTTTAGCGTTCACGAACATGTTCATTTATATATTTAGAAATTAAACAAAACCAACTAGTGCTAAAGAAAAATGTTAAAATCACGTCACTAGTGTTTAAACTCCTTAAGCTTCACAGTTTAAACTCTAAATTTCATCACGTGTTCAATTTAATCCCTACATTCACTAATATTTAAAATGTAAAAATAAAATAAAATAAACGAGCCATTTAAAGAGCTTGTTCATGAACATAAACAAAAGAGTTTATTCGTGAACATAAACGAATTGAACACACCTCTATTCGTGTTCGTTCGTTTATTATATGAACATAGAAATTTTATTCATAGTCATTTATTTAACTTAATAAACGAACGTTATACGAACAGTTCACAAACAATTCACCGAACGTTTTGTTCATTTACTCTCCTCATGTGAGAGTGTGTTGCAAAAATGTATGTGTTCTTTGTATAGTATGCTTTTGATTAATCTATATTATCTATATAGTATGCTTTTGATTAATCTACGATATTGTGTTGTTTATGGTGACTAAAGACATTCATTGAACTTCAATAAGCTCACACTCAATTTTTATTGAATTTGCAAAACAAAAAAAAAAAGTTGAGGATTGTGAAGTGATCTTAAAAAGAAGTTGATAACAAAACCAAACTAATAGTCTGGAAAGTTTGACATGTTCAAGATGATTGATATGTTAATATGTTTATTCAAAATCCTAAAGTAACAACAGAATGCGTGATTGATATGTTGGTAATTTATGTTTAAGTAGGTGTTTAAGCATGCTGTTAGATTTGATATGTCAAAATCTTAATTTAGATGAATTTCATTGGCTGTATCAATCACGAATGGTGAATAAGGTTAAATACATTTGTTGGGATGGTTAGATGACTAAAGATGTTGAATTTGACAAAATGAGTTCCTAAAAAATAATTTGAATTGCATAAATAAACTTTTAATCATCTTGACATACTCAAATATGAATTTGATGTTATGATGTATGATTATGTGTTGTTATGTTATGCATGACATATGTTCATTATCATTAGAATCAATGAATTGCATGTTACGTAATCAAAAAAAGTAAATATTCAAAAAAAAATTCTGTAATTTTTCATAAAAATGATTAATCCGTTGTAAAAATGATCGATCCGTCGAAAAAATATTGACCACTTTAGCCTTTTTTGTCTGGACACGATGAATTACTTAGTTTTAAGTGACTTGATGAATTAGTTAAACATGAAGAAACTTAATCAACATGCTTGATGAGGTTACTTGTATGCTAAGAAACGAGTCATAATTGTTGTGACTAATATGTGTTTGACATCATTGAAGCATGCTGATTGAATGGTTTTGAAAAATTTTAGTTACTTTTATTTTAATTAAGTGAAAATATATGTTTCGAATGTGAACTATTTCAATGATTAATATGATGTCTGATATTCGAATCAAACCGTTCCTACCGAATATCGGGTATCACATGCCAAATGAGACATGCTGCCGACAACCAACAACATTCTTTTGTTAAATACAGAGAGAAAAGGATATGTTGCTTACTTGGCAAGCTCCGGACTTGCTGGGCACAATACACTAGAATACTTTTCGCCGCTTGAGCGTGAAACAAAACCCTACAATAAACATTTAAAATCGAGTCACTTCTTATTTAAAGAAGCATAGTGAACTAGTTTTTTTTCATTTTGTTTTTATTTTTATTATTATTATTATTATTATTTTATTTGTTTATTATTATTATTATTATTATTATTTTATTTTATTATTTATTATTATTATTATTATTATTATTACTACTATTATTACTATTACAAGAGCTCAAATAGACCGGCCTAGTTACAAATCTCGGAGCCCAAGCCCATCCGAAACCCTAAACCCAGTTAGGGTTTGTGTTTCATGCCCCAGCCACCTCTCCTTGTCCACCGTTGGATCTGGCTTAGATCCAACGGTCCAGATAGTCCTAGTAGAAACCCTAGGGTTATGATACCCTAGGGTCACATGGCCACCGTTCGTCAGCCAGCCGCTGCCACCGCCTCGACCTCTGCTGCCACGACGCCAACTGAAGGCTCCAGAGATCCCAACCAACCACCCACGTCGCAAGCTATAGGGTGAGTCACCACAATAGTTTGGTGACTAATCGAAAACCTCCATATTACCCGGTCCGAAGGAGGCTCGGTGGTCGCTATAAAAGCCACCGAACCTGCGAAACGAAAAGACAGAGAAAAACGAAAAACACCAACAGCAAGCAACAAAACCAAAGAAAATAAAAAGTAGAGAAGAAGAAGAACTTACCCTTGAAGCTTCGATCATCGCCGGAAACACCAAACGTCGTCGGAGAACTAAAAATACCAAAGGTATTTTCTTAGATCTACTCTGATTAGGAGATTTTTAGGGGAAACTAAGGCTAGGTTCGGCTTTGGGTGTTTAGGGCTTCGTTTTGGTGTATTTTGGGATTTTTCGCGGCGGTGATCGGCGCCTGAGCACGGTTGTCGGCCGGAAGTTAGACTCCCTCCGGTGGAGGGTTTAGAGAGAGGCGAGAGAGAATTTTAATTCTCTCTCTTAGAGAGAGAAATGAATGAGAAAAATGAGGAAAATCGGCCTAAATGGCCGGTTAAAAGGGTTTAAATACTCCTCTATGAAAGACGTCATTCTGGGGAGAGGTCTATGTGTAATTTGATAAGGGTAAAACTCTTTCCGCAACCATTATAAATTTATAACTTTATATTTTAGTCACTGAATTCAAATTATGATTATTTTAATTTGGTCTGTGAATTTTATTTACTTTATAATTTAGTCATTTACATAATTATATATATTTTAGGTAAAATAACCGAGTTAGCCATTATAATTTTATTAATTAATATTTTAATCTCGAACAACATGTTTTAATTTGTTTTAATTTAATGTTCGAATTTGGTATATGTTTATTTTAGTCCCTAAATTAATAATAGGTAAAATAGCATGTTTAGCCATTATAATATTAAATAAATAATTACGAATTAGGGCATTTAAGTTTAATATGTTATAATTTAATCACTAATTTTAAATACTTTCATTTTATATTTTAATACTATAGTTTTAATTTTATTTATTTTACTCACTATTTAGTTATATTTTAATTTTATATGTTTATTTTCAATATATTTAATTATTATTATTATTATTTAGTCATATAAATATATATATATATATAATAATAATAATATTTATTTATTTATTTTATTTTTATTTGTTTTTATTAAATAAAAATATTATTTATAAATTTAATTTTATATAAATTACTTTTAGGAAAAATAATCATATTTTAATATTTATTTATTTTTTAATATTAAGAAAATGACTGTCTTAAAGCAACTAGAAGTCCTTTTCTGATATTTTTAAATAACTAAATATCCTACTTTTATAAATTATATATATT